CAGTCACGTCTTAGTTTATTAAAAGACAGGTCCGGTAGACATTCGACTACTCTGCTCCTTGTTGTTTAATTCATTCACTATTTATACTTTTAATTATATTTAATTTACCGAACGTTAGATTTCATAAAGTTTGAAAATCCATTTTTTTTTTTAGCTACTCCCTGACCCTAATCTTTCACAATTCAGCAAAGAGTGGCCGAGATCTCCCAGCCGATCGTCCCACAAGTATTGAGAAATACCCAATTATCTAAACATCTATGATGTCACATTCACACATACTAGAGCCACTAACATTCATTCACTTGCAGGTAATCATACGTTTTGTTTGAAGTGAATGAAAGTAGCTCAGAGGCTGTGTTGCTCACTGTCCACACGTTTATGGAAAACATTCAGCTGCATCTGGGCACCTACCTTGGAGCTTGGTGTAAGTGGTTTCTGTAATTTCTTCAAACACTATTCATTTAATAACATGAAAAAAATGATGCTTGATGCTCTGACAGATTCTTAAAATGTTTGCATTAGTTATTTTCCTTAAATAGTTCGAAAATATTCCAGCGTTCTCTGACAAGCTAAGCCAAACAATGTTCATGTGCCTATGTGCTGTCACTTGTAGATTCTTAAAGTGGATTGGTTACGTTATGGGTTCTTTGCACAGACCCTAGGTAGTAACTGTTCCACTTACATTTTTGTGGACTGAGGATGCATGGGAAGGAAATGCTAATTGTTTAGGGGTAGTGGCAGAGCCTTTTTAATACTCTGCATAATTTGCATTTCCCATATTATTTTTCCACAATTCCATAATTTACGAATAAATCCCAAAATGTATACTTGAAAACAAGCCTTGACAGAACACTATGTAGTCAAACTACAATAGGCATATACTTATTATTTAATTTAAAGGGACACTATAAACCACTAAATCACTTTAGCTTGCTGTGTGAGAATAGTGTGTCCTTGTTATTTTCATGTTACAAAAAGTGCAGATTTCAGTAGAAATTGGTATCTTTATATATTAACCTTGTGATACCCCATTGGCTGTCAATCAGGCAAGCGGTCCTGTTACTTCCTGGTTTGATTACCTTAGTGGAGCTAAACTCAAGAGGCAGCGAACTGCCAAGAGCACCTGCCTTGCAAAGACTTCTCCTTGATCTGCATTGGGAAGTTTGTGATTGGACAGCCACAGAAAGTCTGGGCGGGGTTAGAAGGGAAGGTCTTGCAAAGGCTGAATACAAGAGATCTGCAGCTTTTGCAAGCTATTTTTAGATGTGACCCTAACTTGAAAAATGCATAATTAAATAATGCAAGTTTTCATTGGGGTATATCTATTAAACTGTGATTTAAAAATATTTAGATATATATTATGTGTTTGTATTTGGGCAGTCATTTATCTATTTAATGCGTTGCATTATATGTTTTATGTAAATGTTCACCCCTTACTCATTTTTTATTATTAGAATGTTATTTGCAGTTTAGTAATTTTGGTATCGTTAATAAAAGTTATAAAATTAAATTCAGAGGAAAAGAATGTGTTTGTTGCTGATTGCACAGAATCAGTTTCCATCAATGTTCAGTTGCATTTTTGAGCCAATTTAATTAACACAAAGGTGACAATAATGGAGAGGAAGAGTAATTTACCACAAGATTTTCCAAGCAGAAAGTTTTTAATTATTTAGTTTATGTCACATCTGTGCATTTCTGAATGTTAATTATTTAACATATAAATTACAGATTTTTTGTTTGACCTAGCACACATTTGTTTCACTAAAAAAAGAGAAGCCATATGCCCTATGAAACAGTGCTATTCCAAAAAAAAAAGTCGATATGTATATCCACCCACCCATCCATCCATCCACCAATCTACCAATCCATCTATCCATCTGCACATCCATCCGTCAATTCATCCAACCATCCATACATCCATGCATCCACCCACCACCCATCCTTCTATCCACAACCCATTTATCCACCCATCCATCCATCCATCCACCCACCCACCCACCACCCATTTATCCACCCATCCATCTATACATCACCCATTTTTCCATCCATCCATCAACCCACCACCCATTTATTCACCCATCCATCTATCGATCCACCCACCACCCATTTATCCACCCATCCATCTATCCATCCATCCACCACTCATTTATCCACCCATCCATATGTCCATCCACCCACCTATCTGTGAATCCATGCATCTACCCACCCATCTATCCATCTATCCATCCACCCACCACTCATCACCCATTTATCCACCCACCTATCTATCCATCAATCCAACCACCCACCCACCCACCCACCCGTACATCCATCCAGCTATGAGATGTTACATAGTAAGTGGACTAAGCACTCTAAGCACCAAGACAACTTTATCCTAATTAAGTGGTTTTGGTGTATAGATCAAGACCCATCAGTCTCACTGCTCAATTCTCTGCCATTTAGGAACTAAATCACTATTTATGCAGGCTTAGTCACACCTCCCCTGCATGTGTTCAAAGGTGGAGGTTCGGAGATTAACACAACCAAATAATAAAGGAGTTTTAAATCTTTTTTTTGGTGGTTGACAGGTGGTGTTGTTGTCTAGTCTGATCCATGGGTCGTAGCAATGCATCAAAGTATTGTCAGACTTGGTCGTAGTTGTAGTTTAATACATAGGGACTCAAGGATCCTGCAATCCTGAAAAATCAGCTTGAGCTCAGTTTCTTTGTATAGTATTGTCAAACTCTCGGCTTCAAATTTTCATGTTGGGTTTCATATTTACTGAAAAGTCACCAATAATGGCGACTTTTTGAATGAGTAAGGTTTAATGATTATATTTGTTCACAATTCACTGAACGCACCTAAAAAATATATGTGTGACTTTATTGTCAGAATTATGTGGTAGCTGCAACAGACTTTATTACAGAAGAACACTTTTTAAATTTAATCTGGGGCCTAATTAAATTTTCCCCCAAGTTACCCTTTCACCACCGAATTATGCTTGTGTTAAAAACACATAAACAAAAGTCACATTTTTGTCACATTTCTGTCAATAGGAATGTTAAAAAATATAATGACATTTTATGCAAACCACCTTAAAATACAATCGTAATGTATACAAGAATGTTATTAGGTTGGTATTTAATCCACATACAGTAAGTGCATACAGTAAGCACGCAATGTATTTCTCTAATGCAATACTACAACAGGTTGCAAAGAATTATTGTAGTGTGCTCAGAACCCCATACTTTCCAACTCTGGGAGGTATGCAATTGGGATGGGGAATGTGCGGTTAGGAAGTGGTATCACCAGTAAAGCCACTTGCAGGACCAGTGATGCCCACAATGGCTGGGTCCATCCGGAAAAAGAGTGGATTCGCCTTCTGAAGGTGTGAGGCAGCAAGTTTTGCAGGCCCCTTAGTGACAAGGGACTAGGACAGCATTGTCCTATTCCCCACTATACAGCTTGAGCATATCTAATGTTGAGCTGTTCAACCTGGGGATAGTTCCCTTGTGTCCTGGAATGTGGAGCAGGATTTCCTAAATCAGCACTATCCCACTGAAAGCTGGACTGTTGGTATGCTTCAAACCCTCTTTTCTTCTGAGCTTCTCCGGTTGTTTAAATTCAGTCACAAAGCAAAAATGAAGAGAGACAAAATTGACCCCTGGCTGAGAAATGTTTTTGTAATTTTTTTTTTTTTGCAGTGTAAAAGTCAGCAACGGACCAAAGGAAATGCAAACCAAAAAGTTGCACATCTACACACGTGTTTGACAGTATTAATCTATTTCACCATTTAGAGGATTGCCACACTATTCTAGTCTGCATGTTCTATTGGATCGATCCTATGTTTCAGAAATGATAACCCCTTTTAAACACAATGTAATGGGCACCCAGTTGTGTTTATTGACGTGAGATAAATTTAAACTGTACCAGCCCTTTACAAGATTGACTGAGCAGAGAATTTTTACATTATTTAGACTACATGCTTAATCTGTGATTTTTTTTTTTTACTTCAATTATTTATTTATCATATACATTACAGATTTTCCTTGTACTAGAGACTAGAAAATGTATTTAACTCCCACTAACTGAAAGGTAGTTCACTGATACATAGTTTATTGGAAATCTGTACATGGCGAAACATTGGGATCTATTCACTAAACTGTCATTTTTTTTAAAGGAAAATTTTTAAAGAAAAATAATTATTTCAGGCCAGATAAAAAACATAGCTGGTTGCCAAGACATACTTGCATTAATTACTAATTGCCAAGCTAATTTAACTTTTTTTTTTTTAAATCATTAATTAGAAAAATATTTATTTAAAGCATGGCATTAACATCAGATAAAAAATTAACCAACTGGATATTTGAAGCACCGTCTGATCTAATATATATGTACACATTGTCTTGTTTTTGTGTGTATATATGTTTGTGTTTGTGTGTGTGTTTTTGTGTGTATATTTGTTTGTGTGTGTGTTTGTGTGTGTGTTTGTGTTTGTGTTTTTGTGTGTATATTTGTTTGTGTGTGTGTGTTTTTGTGTGTGTGGTTTTTTGTAGAAACGTTCCGTGGCTTGCTTTGCAAGCTATATATAAAGAGATAAGGCTATAGTCATTAGCTGTCTTTCATTTAAAGGTTACATTTGTTTTAGCAAAAAGCATAACTAATCCAAATATCCACTGGGTGTTTCCTTGTAGATAGGATTAAGTTACAGATGTTTGTAGTTCTTTCACTTTTATTATTTGTTTTTTTTTTTCTTTGTGGCTGTAGCATAGAATGCTGAGATTCTGGAGGATTGGCTGGTGTGATAACATTTCAGATGCCACGTGTTCTCTGTGTTTAGAAGTGTGCTCAATGGTCACAACTCCTGACATTTCTTGCATTATTACATTATGTATAAAAAATAGTAACTTCGCTATTAAAGAGTAACATTACATAAATCAGCTGATATATGAGCAATAAAATGTATGCACAACACAGCTTGTCTTCAACAGAAGATGCAATGCCACCATAGGTGCATATGCAAAGTAAATAAGTGTGTTGACAGGATGTGGAATTCTCTGCCTGAAGAGGTGGTTTTATCAGAGTCCATACAGATGTTTAAACTGCAATCGGATAAATACTTGCAAAAACATAACATACAGGGATATAATTTCTAATTAGTGGGGTAATAGCTGCTTGATCCAAGGAGACATCTGACTGCTATTTTGGGGTCAAGAAGAATTTTTTTCCTAGTTTGTTGCAAAATTTGAAGAGCTTCAGACTGAGCTTTTTTCCTTCTTTTGGATCAACAGCAAAAACATGTGAGAAAAGCTGATTTTGATGGACGCAAGTCTCTTTTCAGCACCTTTAATTATGTAACTGTATGACTACTTCCTTAAAGGTTCTCTCCAACCAAAAAACAGAGTTTTAAGAATACACTGTTTCAGTTAGAGTAACATTTCTTATCCTATTTTCTTCACCCTTAAATTTAAAAAAAATGAAAGAAAAGCTACAACTTACTTCTGTTCCAGCCTGATCCTCCTCTGTTGAAATTACTAGAGGGTGAAGGCTGTTGGGGGAGGATGAGCTGAGGATAGCACATGGGCGGCACGGGGAGGGGGATTATTGTTATTATTATTTTATCATTTATATAGCGCCAGCAAATTTCATTGCACTCTACAATAGGTAGACTAACAGACACGTAATTGTAACCAGACAAATGGACGCCCAGGAACAGAGGGGTTGAGGCTCCTGCTCTATGAGCTTACATGCTAGAGGCAGTGGGCTAAAGTGACACAAAGGGTATACGTAGGGGTAATGAAATAGGTTGTTAGAAAAGTATTCGCTGAAAACTTAGTAGGTTATTTTTTACAGTTGCAGGAGAGGAGTCATGGAAGGGGGAGGGGGGATGAAAACCCGCTAACAGTTTAGATTATATGCTTTCCTGAAGAAGTGTGTTTTCAAAGATTTTTTTAAGGTGTGGACACTGAGTGAAAGTCTAACGGAGAAGGGAAGGGAGTACCACAGAAAAGGTGCAGCCCAGGAGAAGTCTTGGAGGCGAGCATCAGATGTGGGAGTACGGGCAGAGGATAGGTGTAGGTCTTCAGCAGAGCACAGGGCCTCGACAGGACATATTTGTGTATTAGGGAAGATGGGAAGGTTGGAGCAGCATTATGTAGGGACTTGTAAGCAAGCACCCGAATTTCAAATTGAGCCCTATATCTAACTGGAAGCCAATGTAGGGACTGACAGACAGGAGAGGCGTGGGAGGTGCGGGCGGACAGGAAAATAAGCCTTGACGCTGCATTCATTATAGATTGCAGTGGTACAATCTGAGAACATGTAATACCACTGAGAAGGGGATTGCAGTAGTCAAGGTGAGAAAGAACAATGGCATGGACCAGCACTTTAGCTGCATCTGGTGTTAAATAAGGGTGGATGCAAGCTATGGTTTTTGAGATGGAAGTGGCAGGATTTGGTGATTGACTGGGCATGAGGGGTGAAGGTGAGGTCGGAGTCAAAGAGAACACCTAGGCAATGAGCCTGCGAAGTAGAGGTGATGGTGGCATCGTTGACTTGGAGGGAGACAGACATGGGAGTGGCAACACTTGAGAGAGGAAAGTGGGGATGGGGTTGGATGGGGAGTTGGGGTCAAGGTTGGGCTTTTTCATAATGGGCGTTATGGTTGCATGCTTGAAGAGTGAGGGAAATGTGCCAGAGGAAAGGGAGCAATTGAAAATTTTAGTGAGAGGAAGAGCAAGAGAGGGAGAGAGTGCGGATGAGATATGAGGGAATAGCTTCGAGGGAACAGATGGTGGGGCGGGATGACCGGAGCAGAGCAGAAACCTCTTCCGTTGTAGTAGGTGCGAATGAGCATTGAACAGCTGAGGGAGTGGGGTTTGGCGATGTACTGAAAGGTGAAGGAGATAGGTTAGAGAACAAAGGGGTTAAACTCTATATGTGCAATGTTTCATATAGTCTCTAATCTAAATGACCACCCCAAATCATTTATGGTGCTAGGAGCAACCCTTCAAGTGGCACTGCTTAGCAAATGAAATTAATTGTATGTATAAATATTAAACATCTAGAGATCAAATTGTGTTTTAGTAGATGTTTCAGACACAACTGGAATGACTAGCTGTCAAGTAAAAACCAATGACTAGAACACAAACAATACAAAACAAAAAATGCACCAAACTCTGCCTTGCACAACATTTAAATGCAGAGACACACACCTCCCACTGGATGAATGAGGGACAGGATGATTGTACTCAATGAGAGGGACTGACAGAACCGTGCATTGCTGTGGAATCACTCTTGTACGTGTTAGTCTGTTGTGCGTAGTCCAGATTGTGCCGGTGCTGACATTTTTGCTGTGGCCCTATAACGGTTATTTTTTTATTCTCACTCACAGGTTTATTCATCAGACCATAACATGTAGTTAATTATAATTGAAATGGCAAATATTTAGGGAATAAGGTTGATCTGAAAACTGCTGCAGTCACAGATTTTAACTTGCAAAAATTTGTAGTTTAGTGGATAGCTTAGCATTTTGCACTCCGTATGGATCTAAATAGTGTGTTGAACTTTATTGTGGAGGTTTTCTAAATGATACAGGAGCATTTTTTGACATTTACATTGGCTGACTGTTTACTCACATGAATTCTAAAGGTATTCAAACGAAGGCATTCCAAAATCTGTACGTGGCAAAGCAAAACAGCTCACCGAGAAGAATAGATTCGCTGAAAAATTAATGTACTGTGATACAAAAGGACGATATGACACATGTCAAAAGCACGAACAGTTTGAATCACAAATAAGAATGGAAGAAATTGCCATTAACATATGACACTCACTGCTTTTCTCTTTTCATGAAGAAAACACCAACAAGAACCAACACATCCCTTAGATTAGGTACCAAGATTTATCAACATAAATTTCTTTGAAGATTTAGCTACTCATTAAACTTGATTTTTGTCATGACATTTCTTATTCACCATTCTGCACATACATTCAAATGGTTTTTAACATATCCAGCTAAGACTCACTAAAATAGCTTTTTTTTTTTTTTTTACTCTAACAGTGTATCTATCTGCTGTGATAACTATAATAAATCACGATGTTACTACTGTTTGTTATTGAATGTAATCACTTTGTGTTTTTTAACCCCATTCGGAATCAACATTATGATGATAACAATGGAATGTCTTAGCTCAGCTAAAGAAGGGGTAAACGTTGAAACAGTTCCATCGTGTGATACTCTCATTTATGCCTTTCAATAAGGAAACTTGTCAGCGAATGACTTCCAATTGCACGTGACGTGCACATTGTGATTGGTGTATATCTGTCATGAAAAAAATGACATGGTGAAAATGTATAGAATAAAAATACCATCGATACACACTAAGTATACTAAGTAAAAAGGATGCAATTCAAGAAAGTCTGGCTTTGGTTTCTGCATGTTGGTATATATGTTATTGACCAGGTGTACATGAAAAATGTCAAAATTATACACAATCAGATAATTATTGTGTCCATGTTGTGCTTGTAAAAAAAATAATTTATGAAAAAATATATATATATACATAAAAAATAGCTGCATCTGCAGATGCTTAGTCACAGATATATCTGGAAACGAATTGCTTATATAAAATATATCAATAACATAAACAAACAAAATGAGGAATGACAGTGCTTAACTATTTTAGCCTTCAAGCCATATTTCCATTTTTATATCACTGATTCTTTTTTATTGTTTAGTGGCAGTGAGAAAGACCGTGGATGGTTACAATGTGTACTGTCATACAGACACAGGCATATAGTCATACAAAGACACACAGAGACATAGCAAGACTGTCATACAGCGACATACAATTACAGTCATACAGAGACATACAGATGCAGACACAGACATACAGTCATACTGAGACACACATAGACATACAGACACTGTCACACAGAGACATACAAATACAGTCATACAGAGACATGAAGACACAGACATACAGTCATACAGAGACAAACAGAAACAAACAGACACTGTCATACAGAGATATACAATCACAGTCATACAGAGGCATACAGACACAGGAATATAGTCATGCAGAGACACACAGAGACATACAGACACTGTCATATAGTCACATAAAAACAAAATCATACAGACATACATTTATAAAGAGACACAAAGACATAGTTATGCATTCCCATACGCTCAAACATTCTATTCTCAAGTATTGGGAATACATTTTTACAATGCTTTGTACCAAACACCGAACACAAGCTGTATATCTTTTCATACATCTTACATAAACAGGCAGCTTTCCACTGCAAAGTTCACTGTACCTGCAAAACAAATCATTCTGTTATGTTTGTCATCAAATCTATAGCAAGCACAGACGTAACAGTTGAGTTTAAAGGAACTATCTTCCAGGAGGTAAGTGGAAAGTTAAATAATGGAAAATATATTTAAAACCAAACAGTTCCAGGTGGGAAAACTCTCACAAGATAGACCGAGGGTGGAAAATGAATTGTCTGCCAAATAACTTATGAATAGATTTGATTAAAAAAAGAATAAAATAATCAGCACAATCTGTTAGTAGATAAACTTGTCAATGATAAAAAGCAATAGAACTGTATATATAGATACGTAAAATAAATAGCAAACACAAACAACTAAAGAAGCAGAAATAAAAATGTAAGGCATTCAGTGTTGGTGTCTATCCACTAAACCGTGTGTTGAAATAATGGCTTATATTATAATCTAAAGTTGGTAACCAGTAAATGTTTGCTAACTTTTGGCTGTCATTGCGAGACAGTTATCAAAGCCATCAAAGTTTAATTTCTGATGAAAGAGAGTCACCTGTCTGTTCTACTGTTACAAATAGGCTGGGGGAAATAAGAGACACCACAAAGGGGCTGGGGGAAATAAGAGACACCACAAAGGGGCTGGGGGAAATAGGAAACACCACAAAAGGGCTGGTGGTGAAATAAGAAACACCACAAAGGGGCTGGGGGAAATAGGAGACACCACAAAGGGGCTGGGGGAAATAAGAGACACCACAAAGGGGCTGGGGGAAATAGGAAACACCACAAAAGGGCTGGTGGGGAAATAACAGACACCACAAATGGGCTGGGGGAAATAGGAGACACCACAAAGGGACTGATGAGGAAATAAGAGACACCACAAAGGGGCTGGGGGAAATAAGAGACACCACAAAGGGGCTAGTGAGGAAATAAGAGACACCACAAAGGGGCTGGGGGCAATAAGAG